ACACACCACACCCTGTATTAACAACAACTCCATCTTTAAGAAGTTTAACTACTGAATCATCCTTTACTCCAACAACATCGAAAAAAGTTTTGGTATTCTATCCTTTAGATTAACATCCTTAAACATTGATACAATAATTTATTTTCTGACTTTTGATGTTCAAAAATACAAATTTAATGAAATTAAAACACGATTTAACCTCTATTCGATTGTTTCTCAGAAAAATGATAATGAAGATATACTATTGAATAAACATTTCGATACTCAAGATGATCGATTTAAGATTATTACAGGTAAATGTATTCGAGTAATTATTACTTTATGCTCCTTCTTTTCTTCTTTAGAAGCTTTAACACAAGGTTTTGCTTTAAATGAAGAATCAATGGTTGCTTTACATCCGTCACTAAAACAAGCTAGAACTCAATTAACAAAAGACGTAAAATACTTAAAAGTTATGAAGCCAAACCTCAGCGAACATGCTGCAAATGAAAATGATAGTGCAAGGGAAGATGTTGAAAGTATAGAGGACGACACTCAAACGCAATTTTCGAAGGAAGAATGATTTTTTTATTTGTAAAACATCAAATTCAACTGAAGCAATTTAAAAAGCCGATTGTGATATTATGATATGGTTTTTCTTAGGTTTCGTCTCTTTTTTTAACACTTTTTGTTAAAACATATTGACAACAATTCTTTTCTTGAAATAAAAATGAAAAATATCAATGAACAAAGGTGAAGTTGTCGCGAGTCTGGATGAAAACAAAATTGATTAGCAAAGAGCGATGTTTGTATTTATCCCCAGAGAGTCTCGATGAATCCGCTGCAAATCCCTAGGAACTCCCTTCATTCCCTTTCTAGTTCCTAGGGAATCTTTGTCGAGATTCTCCGATGGAGTTTTAGTGGGGACTCCCTAGGGGTTCGTCAGGGGAGAGTTGACTAGAGACGCCATACATCAACATAATTAAAACACTGTAATTACCGATGAAGGTCAGATAGAATATTTCACACCTTCAGAGAAAATATGAGAGAATCTGTGACAGATGTATATGGTCCAAGAAACACTACAAGGCAAACAAGATTTGAAAGGCTTAAAAAAAATTTTTTTTCGAGCAGTACTATGTAAAAAGCGATGTGAAACGAGAACCCAAATCATTGTTTTCATGGAGATTAGAAATAATTAAAATCTTAACCTGCTATTTCATTTCTCTGTCGTATATTGAACTGTCGGACTGTTTGGATCCAAAGATGAAAAAGAAAAAGACTTAAACTCAAAAAATCTCATACTATTTCTCACAACACATACTAAACAAGTAACGTTCATCGACATTCAATGTCGATTCGCTTGGTCCTAGACTGCCGGAATGATGACCAGGTTGCCCATATATTTTTTAAAAAAAATTATTTTTGTATAGTGATGAGTTCAGGAGAAATTATAAAGATTTGTAACATGTCTTATGTTATATACTATCGATATATTTAAATAGTTCACATAAAATGTTGAAATATGCTAAAATGTATATGATAAAGTTTATGCTTGAGTTAATTATAACGGATAAAAGATTG